ATAATGAATATAACAACTCAACATTCCATAGTTTGGGGCTACCCCTCATAACTATTTGAACCCTAAATCTAACAATTGAATCTACTCAGACATGGCCAAGTGGTTCATAGTAATAGAATAGGATGAAAAGAAAATACTTTATTGCTAAATATAGAATTACAAAAACACTTAAAACACTCAAAGAATCTAAAACATGTTTTGCTAAAGCACATAGGCATAACTATAAATATGAGTACAATTAGGTTAAAAACTCGTCAGGGGCAATCTTGTAATATTGGGAGAACTTGGGCTTCAAGTCGGCCAAGTAAATCTTGCTCATCACGCTTCATATCGATCGATGGTACATGGTGTACATCGATCGATGGAGTATCTCGACTTCAACTTCTACGGAAGCGTCATCGATCGATTACACAGGGTGTGTATCGATCGATATATATATCTCTTATTGTCTGTTCTTCATAGTCACTTCGGAAAACTCTCCTTTAAGCTCCATAAGGGCACCTAAATCATCACTTTACTCCAAAATGCTCCTGAACCTGAAAACATACCTAATAGACTCCAAAACATAGATAATTATCATCAAAACATATCAATACCATGACCAAAAGCGGGTCAAAATCATGGTATATCACATAGGATCAATTTAGAAACAAAGCATTATACGAATTCAAAAGAAGTATTATAGTTGAATATATACAAGTATTATCTCCAAACGTGAAACAAAACATATCAGCGTGGTATCTAGAGTTATGAATGTGCTCTGCTTGTATTGTAGTTCCTCCTGTAGCTTGTAGCTTTTAGCTTTGGTAGTTGTAGTGTAGTAATGACTAGAGCTGATAGGTTTGTAGTAGTAGTTTAGTAATAACTTCTGATTAGACATAGGTAGATGATGGTTAGGTGGTTATGGAGTTATTACTTGTTAAATTTTCTCCTATTAAACCCCATAGAAAATACTTCAGCTCTATTATCTCTAAATCGTCTTTCTCTTCTCTTAGCAAGCAATAAAACTTTCTCATTCTCTATAATCTCTGCTCTTCTTCTGCCTATGGACCCAAGGAATCCGTATAGCCAGAATACTAGTTATGTGGGGCTTCTGCACAACCTTCAAAACAATAATGTTCAGGAAAACTTTTCTTATGAAAGTTTTCCTTCCAGTGTCGACATTGGAGGCTCAGAAATCCCTCCTTTCAGTTCCCAACAGTCTGAGGCTCCATCTCAACCTCAGGATACACCTGTGGAGCGTGTGGTGAGAAGGAAATGGACGCCGGGTGATGACGAGGTCCTGATTAGTGCGTGGCTAAACACATCAAAAGACGCTGTTGTCAAAAATGAACAGAAGTCAAGGACCTTCTGGAAACACGTAGATGAATACTTTGCAGCAGCCCTTCATGAAAACGTAGAGAATGTTCACTGCAAGCAGAGGTGGCACAGAATTAATGATCAGACCAACAAGTTTTGTGCCGCTTTCGCAGCTGCAGAGAGACAAATAAGCAGCGGTCGGAGTGACAATGACGTTCTAAACGTGGCTCATCAATTAGGAAACTCAGCAGAGAGTGGATACAGCTCCACAGATATGAATATACTCCTGGACCAAGCAGAGATAGAAGCCGCAAGGGTTGTGTACCCTCCGCAGCCGGAGGTTGAGTTCGGCTTCCCCAAGAAATGCTATTGTGGTGGCGAACCGCTTATTAGGACTTCTTACAGAAGAACTGACCCGGGGAGGAGGTTCTACACCTGTGAGAACATCAATGACGGAGACTGCCATGTATACAAGTGGTGGGATGTGGCGGCTACAGAAGAGATAAAAGCCATAGGTTCACAATGCACCATTCTTTCTGATAAGGTTGATTATCTTGCTTCTTTGACTGACTACGAGTCAGAACTAAACCAGGTAAAACATCTTCATTATGAGACTGAGCTGAAGTTGGCTGAGCTTGAGAAGACTATCTCTGAGCTATCTAAAAGAAAGACTATTTTGTGTGGTCATCGGTTTGACCTCGTTCTAGGTGGTCTGGTTCTGGTGCTAACGGTAATAACCATGATGGTAATGTTTAAGTAGGTGTGCGTATTGTAAGTTCATGTCTTGTAATGCTTAAAAGGAGACTTTTAAATTTGCATAAGTACTAAATACAGTTTATGTCATGTGATGCTTAATGTAATATTTTGTATGAAGTGTATTGTAATATTTCAAGCACATGTGTTTCGGTGTGAAAGTTTTCCTTCCAAACAAACACTAGTTATACCTAACAATCACATGTATCTCCAACACATAAAATTTGAATAACCCGTGAATCGTAAGTCCATCACATGTCATTATTTCATCAAATCACAAACTCACGGACTTTTACACAACTTCGTATCTATAAATATGAGCTTCCTCTTGTGATTACAAATACACAACCACTTCTTGATATATTTATAATGGCATCTTCATCACATTATCATTACCACAAGGATGATGATGATGATCTTGATACCCCCGTTGAAGATTTTCTAAACAGCTATGATCCTATACCAGAACCGAAAGAGCGAAAAACGTATTTTTATAGAGAGACACCGAGAAGAAGGCCACAACATGCTTTGGAATGATTATTTTAGCGACAATCCAACATACTCTACCAGTTTATTCCGGCGACGGTTTCGAATGAACAAACCTTTGTTCCTTCGTATTGTGCATCGGCTCTCCACAGAACTACCGTACTTTCAACCATCTGAAGATGCAACCGGACGGCCAAGTCTTTCACCTCTTCAAAAATGTATTGCAGCAATTCGACAATTGGCATACGGTGGTGCGGCTGATGCAGTAGACAAATATATTCATCTTGGAGAATCAACGTCTAGACAATGTTTGCACAATTTTACCACCGCAATAATCACCTTGTTTGGCGATGAATACCTACGACGTCCAACACCGGAGGATTTGGAAAGACTACTACATATTGGAGAAGAACGTGGATTTCCAGGGATGATTGGAAGCATTGACTGTATGCATTGGGAGTGTAAGAATTGTCCCACCGCTTGGAAAAGAATGTATTCACGAGGAACCGGAAAACCAACAATTGTCTTGGAGGCGGTAGCTTCGTATGACCTATGGATATGGCACACATTTTTTGGAGCTCCAGGTACTATGAACGATCTTAATATTCTTGATCGATCACCTGTTTTTGATGACGTCATTAACGGCATTGCGCCACAAGTAAACTACTATGTCAACGAAACGGAGTACCATCTGGCATATTATCTAACAGATGGTATATATCCGAAATGGGCGACTTTTATTCAATCTATCCGACTACCACAAAATGAAAAGCAGTCATTGTTTGCTAAAACCCAAGAATCAGTTTGAAAAGATGTCGAGCGTGCCTTTGGAGTCTTACAAGCAAGATTTGCCGTTGTCAAAAATTCATCTAAGTTATGGGATAAAGAAAAAATAGGAAATATTATGAAAGGATGTATCATACTCCATAATATGATTGTAGAAGATGAACGGTCATCATTCACTCAGTATAACGCTTTCGAGTTTCGTGATAGAGAAGATGTGGATACATTTCCCATCAACATGCCTTCGAATCTCGGTAACACAATGGATTGTCGAACGAGCCTTCGGAATAGACAAGCCCATGAAAAAATAAAAAACGATTTGATTGAAAATATATGGGCTAAATTTGGACATCTTCCAAATAATATGTAATTTTTAACTTAAGATTTGTTTTTTTTTTGAAATTAATATTTTCTCTTATAATCTTTTTCATTATTATCTTTAAAAAGAACGGAAAACTGTACAAAGTATTTTATTAAGAAATATTACTTTAAAATAGCTATTTAAAATTATTCTTTGTTTATAGAATTTTAAAAAATTAAAATTACTATCAAATATTTTCAAAAATATAGAAAACCATAAAAATATAATTGTAAAAGATTATATAATAGTAATTTTTCTTTTCTAAAATCCTTAAATAAACAAAAGAAATATATTTTCATTTTTATAAATCTTTTTTTTTTAATTCTAAACAAAGATAATGGTAACATAATTTTGACACATGTCACAATTTTACAAAATTTATTGGCATATGTCTTGACACATGTCGCAATCATGTTAATTAACAACTTAAAAAACCAAAGTTTATATAATAAGATTTAAAATAAAATAAAATTACTATCAAATATTTTAACAAATTATAAAAGAAACAGAAATATATATTTGTAAAAGGCTATGTAATAATAATTTTATTTGTTTCTAAAATCCTGAAAAGAACAATAAAATATATTTCCTTTTTTAAAAAATATTTTTAAAATTCAAAAAAAAAGAATTACAACATATTTTTGACACCTGCCACAATTTAAAAGAAATAATTGACATATGTCACAATCATATTAATTAACAACTTTGAAAAACCAAGCTTATATATAATAATATTTTAAAATTACTATCAGATATTTTTAAAAGACTAAAAAAGAACCATAAAAATATAATTGTGAAAGACTATTTAATAGTAAATTTTTTATTAAAATCCTAAAAAGAACAATAAAATATATTTTTCATTTTCCTAAACTTTTTTAAAAATTCTGAACAAAAAAAAATTGTAACATATTTTTGACATGTGTCACAATCTTAAGAAAATAACTGACACGTGTCACGATCATGTTAATTAGAAACTTTGAAGACTCAAGCTTTATATATATATATATATGAATAATTGTAGTTTTTTATGATCTTTTTAATTAGGATTTGAATAAAGAAAAATTAACGCTAAACACTCTTTTACAATTTTGGGAAATTGTAACAAATACCACTTTCCTAATACCATTTTTCATTTATGCATTAACCAACTTTACCATTAAAGTTTTAATAGGCAAAATACAATTATACCCCTAGCTAATAAAACCTAAAACTATTGTTTTCTTCCCCCACGAGATCCGACGATTGACGAGATTCGACGATTGACGAGTTTTCCGGCGAGTTTTGAAGATGATGACGAGTTCTCCGGCGAAATCTGACGATGCTGATGAGTTCTCCGGCGAAGCACGAACGAGACGATCTCTCTCCGGCAGTGGTACTATGTATCTCGCTTAAACACATGGAAGTTCACCTGAGAAACCTATTGAGTTTCCAATCTTTGCCAACAATACTATTCATATTCCCATCAATGATGCTCATCAGGTATCTCTTCAGATCTTATCTCTTTGCCTAAAACATTTTTGATTTTGGTTGCAGATCTTATTAGATGATGTGAAAAGATCTCTAGACGACATATATGGTGAGGCAGGAGTCAAAGGCGCCGGAATGGGAGGCATGTGGGTATTTAAAACACATTTCTTCTTTAAGACACTCTGATGATGAGATTGCTGACTTGGTCTTCTCTTACTTAACTTTTTTTAGGATTATAGTAATCCGTTTTATCTGTTCGAGTCACTCTTAGAAGGAATGGGTGGTATGGGCGGTGGAATGGGTAGTAGAGGTGCAAGGAGCAGAGCAATCGACGGTGAGGATGAGTACTAATCACTAATCTTAGATTTCAAAGAAGCTGTTTTCGGTATCGAGAAAGAGATAGAGATCTCCCGGCTAGAGAGCTGCGTGACTTGCAACGGCTCAGGCGCAAAATCAAGGAAAAGTGGTAGCATCTACAAGGACACACATTTAGGTGTATTCCAACAAGTCATGACTTGCTCTCCCTGCAACGGAACAGGGGAGGTTTCAAAGCCATGCGGTGCTTGCTCAGGAGATGGACGTGTGAGGAGGACTAAAAGGATTAGTCTCAAAGTTCGAGCTGGTGTGGATTCCGGTAGCGGGTTGAGAGTGAGAGGAGAAGGGAATGTAGGGAAGAGAGGTGGATCAGCTGGTGATCTTTGTGCTGTTATTGAAGTGATTCCTGATCCGATGATATGAATATACTCTATACGTGTAAGATATCGTATGTAGATGCGATATTGGGGACTACTTTGAAGGTTCCAACGGTTGATGGAACGGTGGATTGAAAGTATCAGCGGGGACACAGCCGAGCACGACGCTTGTGATGGCGAAAAAGGGAGTACCGGTGTTGAATAAGAGTAAGATGAGAGTTGATCAGTTAGTGAGAGTGCAAGTTGAGATACCAAATAAGTTGAGTAAAGAAGAGAAGAAACTTGTTGAGGAGCTTGCTGATATGAGCAAGAACAAGGTAGCTAATAGCAGGAGATAAAAAAGAAAATGCGGTGGTGGTGGTGTTACTACATAGATGATCCTCTCAGCTGGAAATCTTTATTTATGTTTCTTCTATTGATAGAGAAGAAGAAGAAAGACTTTATTGTTAGTTGACAGGAAAATTGAAGAAGACTTTCTTTGGTTTTTTCCTCTGTAATTTTTGTTTTTAAAAGAATGCTTTGTGATGGTGGGGGATTGATCAGGGTTCAGAATAGGTCTTGTGTTGTATTGTACTGCTATTTTATATATTTTTTCAATCTTCTTTATTTTGATTGATGAGTAATTTATCAAACACATACAAATGTTCAAAAGATCTTATAAACAAAAATGAAAAAGAGATGAATGTCCGTATTATTGGCAATGGTTTTGAAGCAGAGTTTCCACATTTTTTCATTCTACCAAGAAAGACAAAGAAAAACCCTGTGAGCTTGTATGACATCATTTCCAATGCTGCTGGAAATTCATGGTATGCATTCGGCTACAATGACTTTCCTTTGGTTATGACTAATACAAAAGTATTCCAGTACCAAAACCAATAACATAAGTTCATAACCATCATTGGTTACAATATTTTATGCTTGATCCGTGTTAATTTCTCGACTTTTTGTGTTTTTTTTACATAATGCTACTATTTATAAGGGTTTATAAAACTATTTATAAGGGTTTATAAAACTATTTATAAGGGTTTATAAAACCATGTACAAGAATTTATCACCCATTTATAAGAGTTTATAAATCTATTTACAAAGTTTATAAATTTATTTATAAGGATTTATACAAAATATTAAAAGAGTTTAATATTCTTTATAAAACAATTTATAAGAGTTTTCATTTAGAAGAGTTTATAAATCATTTATAAAAATATATAAATTCTTACAAAAATTCATAAGTGGATCCTTATAAAGGTATTTATAAGTGTTTATAATTCTGTTATCAGTGTTTATAAAGCCATGTACAAGAACTTATGATTTCGCTAGCGAAATGCAAACCAAACAGTCTTCCCATCCTCCACAAGATGCACGTCAAGTTCGGAGATACTGTCAAAGTCATCTCTGGGCGAGACAAGGGTAAGGTTGGAGAAGTCACTAAGATCTTCACCCACAACAGCACCATTGTCATCAAAGATGTTAACCTCAAGACCAAACACATGAAGAGCCGTGAAGAGGGGGAGCCTGGCCAAATTGTCAAGGTCTCTGTCTCTCTTTCGTTTATTTTGCTAAACAGAAACCAAAGTTCTTTAGTAACTCCCTTTAACTTTCGTTAACCAAAATGTGTTTGTGTTAGCAGATTGAAGCACCTGTGAGAAAGTCCTTCAAGGACCCGTTTGAGATATATTCTTGGACAATGAAGATGGTGTGTCCAGCGTGTTGATTGTGGCCTTGGTTACTAGCAATGCAATGCCCAAGAACGCTAACCAAATGTATGTGCCTTAGCTTTGATAAAACTTCCATCTGCTGAGCTAAGCTCTGTGGTAAACTCTTCTGCTTCAGCTTGATACATCTCACTGTTACTGCTATGTCTTTTCTGAGACAACCTCTGTACAACTGTTGGAATATACCAAAAACATATCAACCAATCAGGCTTTATATTATGTAGCTCATGTTATGTTACCTGCTCGCAGAGAAGACTTGCTGCATCAAAGTCGTTAGTCGCTTCCACCAGTTCCTCCAAGGAGAAAAGGTGGTACGGTGGCATACCAATCACTGCAGATCTCATTGTCTGCGGTACACGTTCTACATTCGTAAAAATATATATTAACCCTTATAAATGATTTATAAAATCTTATAATGGTTTATAAATTCTAAAAATGGTATATAAACCTTTATAATAAATATACTAGATCTTATAAATGATTTATAAACTTTTATGAAAGATTTGTAAACCTTTGTGAATCATTTATAAATGATTTATAAATGACAGATATATTCGTCATGCATTTGATTTTTTTAAATAGTTTTGTAAATCCATATAAATTGTTTTATAAACCCTTATAAAACTCTTATATAAAATTTTTAATATATTTATAAGCTCTTAAAGATAAAGCTTTGAATAATATTGATCTATATGATTTTTAAAATCCTTATAAATGATTTATGAACCTTTATAAATGATTTAGTTAGCCCTTATAAATAATTTATAAGATATAGTTTATTAAGTTCTAAAAATGGTTTATAGATTCAAATTTCATAGGCGAAGTTTCTCTTCATTGGCTCATGGTAAGTCAAACTCCATAAATTTATTAGATTTTATTAACCCTTATAAATGATTTAGAAAATCTTATAATGGTTTATAAATTCTAAAAATGGTATATAAACCTTTATAATAAATATACTAGATCTTATAAATGATTTATAAACTTTTATGAAAGATTTGTAAACCTATGTGAATCATTTATAAACGATTTATAAATGACACATATATTTGTGATGAATTTGATTTTTTAAAAAGAGTTTTGTAAATCCATATAAATTGTTTTATAAACCCTTATAAAACTCTTATATAAAATTTTTAATATATTTATAAGCTCTTAAAGATAAAGCTTTGAATAATATTGATCTATATGATTTTTGAAATCCTTATAAATGATTTATGAACCTTTATAAATGATTTAGTTAGCCCTTATAAATAACTTATAAGATATAGTTTATTAAGTTCTAAAATTGGTTTATAGATTTAAATTTCATAGGCGAAGTTTCTCTTCATTGGCTCAGAGTCCAACTCCATAAATTTTTCCTTGTTACGATATTTTTTCAAGAGACTAGCTATGCATAAAGGAAAAAAAAACATTATTTATAAGCTTTCATAAATTTCTTATAAGCATTTATAAATAGTTTATAGATTTAATAACTTGTTTTATAAGCCTTTATAAATGGTATGGACTTACAAATAATTTTACATATCCTTATAAATTGTTTTATAAACTTATATAAAGGTGTATAATCTTTATAAATTGTTTTAATAGACATTTAAAAATTATTTACATATCCTTATAAACCCATATAAATTATTTATAAGGGTTTATTAAATGATTTATAAGGTTTATAAACTGATCTATAGAGGTTTATAAACTAATTCATGAAAGTTTATAAGTTAATGTATAAACTGATTTTTAAGGTTTTAGAAGTTAATTCATTAATGTGTATGAATTCATTTTTACTTATTATCTTATTATATGATCTATATAATCTCTTACAGTAACTCTTATAAATGGTTTTATAAACCTTATAAGATATTTAAACTGATTTATAAGGGTTTATAAACTAATTTATTAAGGTTTATTTGTTAATTTATTAAATATTTTATTTATTATGGTCTATAAGTGTGATTTATAAGAGTTTATAAACTGATTTAAAAGGTTTTATAAACTAGTTATAGGTTTATAGATTTTATAACTTGTTTTATAATTACAAAAGGTTCTTGATCCTGAAATGGGGAAGCTTTATATTGATTCGGAGACCTGGATGCTGTGTGTGTGTGTTTCAGGGATTTGAACTTATACCGTCAGAGAACTTCACCTCTGCCTCGGTGATGGAAGCTGTTGGCTCTGTTCTGACTAACAAGTAAAGTGAAGGCTACCCTGGTGCTAGATACTACGGAGGCAATGAGTATGTATAACATTTGTTTTCTTATGCTACAGTTGCATTCTTGTTTATGTTACTATCAGATGCTCAACCTCAATATTATTTTCATCTTTGTCACAATAGATACACTGACATGGATGAGTCATTATGTCAAAAATGCGCACTAGAAGCTTTTCACTTAGATCCTTCTAAATGGGGAGGTAATGCAGATAATTATTCTTTGACATTTGACTTAGCCGTAGTTAAACACATGCTACTAGAAACCAAAATTTGATGTTATAAGGTTATCATAATATTTCACATGATAAGAACAGCCAAATTATTAACAATAGTAAAGTAGAGTTACTCAACGGATTATACTAATTAAATGGATCCTTAATTAATTGAATACTTGCCTTGGTCAACTATAGTTTTGACAAGATCAAAAGAAGCAATTGCTTCGGTTGGTGACTCTCATCTGACTATTTTCCTTGGCCACGTCTGTCCTCTGGTATTGACAAGAAGCTTCTTCTCTGTCTTGTTCTTCTTACAATAATATGTGAGGGTGAGATCCAAAACCATAGGTCTTGTAAGACCATCAACCACAAAATATGTACAGCCTCTGAGTTCTCACACGCATCTCTTCTTCCTCCTATGTGTTCTCTTCCTAACATCCCTCTTTGTTACACTTTCAGAAGCTGTCTGTAACCCGCAAGATCGAGAATCTCTCTTGTGGTTTTCGGGCAATGTTTCTTCTTCTGCTTCTCCTTTGAATTGGAACCTCTCCATTGATTGTTGCTCCTGAGAAGGAATAACCTGCGATGATTCATCAGAAAGTCACGTCACTGCAATCTCCTTGCCCTTTAGAGGTCTCTCAGAAAATCTCAGTTCATCTGTTCAGAACCTTCACCGTCTCTCTTATCTTGATCTTTCTCATAACCATCTCTTAGGTCCTCTCCCACCAGGTTTGTTCTCGGCATTTGACCAGATTTTGTATCTTGATCTCAGTTACAATCTATTCAATGGTGAGTTAACATTTGAACAAGCGTTTGGAGATGGAAACAATAGATTCTTCCCAATACAGACCTTTGATCTGTCAAGCAATCTTCTCCATGGTGAAATCCTCAATACTTCTATCTTCCTCCAGGGAGCTATCAACTTAATAAGTTTTGTTGGGGTCAAAATCGGTACGACGAAATTAATAGCCAAAACTTTCCGTAAAAATACAAAAAGAACAGTTTTATAAAGCTCAAGAATCGTTTTATAAAACTCGAGAAATCGTTTTATAAAAGCTCGAGAAACCGTTTTATAAAAGCTCGAGAATCGTTTTATAAAACTCGAGAATCGTTTTATAAAACTCGAGAATCGTTTTATAAAACTCGAGAAATCGTTTAATAAAGCTCGAGAAATCGTTTTATGAAGCTCGAGAATCGTTTTATAAAACTCGAGAATCGTTTTATAAAACTCGAGAATCGTTCTATAAAACTCGAGGATCATTGTATAAAACTCGAGAATCGTTTTGTAAAACTCGAGAATCGTTTTATAAAACTCGAGAGTCGTTTTATAAAACTCGAGAAATCGCTTTATAAAACTCGAGAAATCGCTTTATAAAACTCGAGAAACCGTTTTATAAAACTCGAGAAACCGTTTTATAAAACTCGAGAATCGTTTTATAAAACTTGAGAAACCGTTTTATAAAACTCGAGAAACCGTTTTATAAAACTCGAGAATCGTTTTATAAAACTCGAGAATCGCTTTATAAAACTCGAGAAACCGTTTTATAAAACTCGAGAATCGTTCTATAAAACTCGAGAATCGTTTTATAAAACTCGAGAAATCATTTTTATAAAACTCAAAAGTCGTTTTATGAAATCCGAAGATCGTTTTATAAAACTCGAGAATCGTTTTACAAAACCGCAAAAAACCGCAAAAAACCGAAAAAGCCGTAAAACGCGAACTAGTCGCAACTAGTTCGCCCATCGGCGAACTAAGAAACACTNGCCGATGGGCGAACTAAAAAGCATTCTCTAGTTCGCCCATCGGCGAACTAAGCCGGGCCCGGCTTAGTTCGCCGATGGGCGAACTAAAACATGCATGACTAGTTCGCCCATCGGCGTACTAAGCCGGGCCCGGCTTAGTACGCCGATGGGCGAACTAGAGACGTCCCGGACACTCCGCGTCTCGATTTCCCGTATTCCCCATTCGAAACTTACGTCTTTCGACAAGGTCGCATTCTAAACCACGGCCGAAATATCTCTCGTTCCATCTCGATCCGACTTACCGTTCGAGTTTTACTATAAAAACCGTAAAACTTCGTTTTCTCGGAAAGAACTCGAGGAAATCGTATAAAACGGCAACGGTTAAACGAAACACCAAACATTGCCTAAACTATACGATTTATTCGAGATTTCTCGTTAAAATCATAAAAAAACGCCGAGTAAGTCGTAAAAAACGTGTTTTTAATAAAAAGTCGAGTAAATCGTAAAACTTTGCGATTAACTCGAGAAATTTATTAAAAACGACGTCAGATCAGGAAACGATCCCGTAAAAAGTCGGAAAACGGTTTTTATCGCAAAACGGCCCGGAAGGACCTAAAACGCAATAAAAACCCATCTCGCGATTTTAACGGAATCTAACCCGCAGATTTGATAACGTTTTGACGGTTTACTCGCAGAAAGAAAATGAAAGTCAAGTTTAAACATAAAAGGAAGGTTTGAAGAGAAATAGAAGATTTCCGCAGAAGAAAGGGAAGGATCGAGAAGAATGGAAAATTCCCGATTTAGTCAAATCTGGGCGAAATGGAAAGATCGG